CCCAGTCGTGGCTTGTGCGGGAGCCCTACAACGTGTGGCTGAGCAGGGAGCTAAGGTTGCGGTAAAGTGATGCTGAGACTGTGTTCTTTCCCTGTAGTGTGTCCAATTCTCTCCAGGTCACTGGTGTGACTGAGCAGCTCCGACACCTGCGCCACACGAGAAGACACTCTCTCACTCAATCACGTAATGTCTCATCTAGAATTAAATAGCACATGTGGGATTTTCTCTTAAGTGTATGTGTGCTCATTCATGGACGCTGCTCACGGAAAGGAACTTATGTAGTTTCTTACTTAAGAAGCTTTGGTCGGTCTATATTTAGCAGGATACCAACTTAGATAGGGACAATGCCAGCGTAACTGTAGTGAGGTGCTGACCTGGGTGTCATAATATTATGGATAGAAAGATGTAAACTAAGAGTTCAAATCAATTTGGCTACACATCGAGGTGATAAAATACTACGTTTCTGAAGACAATGTTTGGTTTAGGAGATCAATGGATTTAATGACATAGACATAGGCCTACTGTGTCTTCAATTCTCTCAAGAAGTAGTGAAAGATCTCTTTAGAATAACCACTTCAGCTATAGGCTATTTCTATTCTGTTATGAGAAGAGAACACATTCATTTACTCCACCAGACTTTTAATATAAAAGCATTTTTCATTATATTCATATTCTGCCTATTCTTTATGTCAATATGCCAAAAAGCATGAGGAACATTCTAAACACCTACAAATGATGTAATCGTAGGAGAACACATTCGGATTAATCAAGTTTTACACTAGATCACAATCATCTCTGATGTAATCAAATCAAGGCAAATACATAGCCTTGATCAGGCCAGGGTCTAGGGTCAAACGTGTCTGAGACCCACTAATTCTCTCAGGTGTAGGCTAGTAGGCTAGGGTGTGTAGTAATCGGTTGTTAGGTGTAGCCTAAACATAACTGTAAGATCCTCTCCAGCACCCTGTGGCTGCTAGTGCCCAGTGGAGTGGCTCTCTCACCTTCAGGTTATCAGGTTAAATAACATGTCACTCAAGCTTAATAGGTCTACTCTGAACTGTTCTGAGGGAAGTGTTCTTACTGAAACTCAAAGATGAGCTCACTCAACCATTATAGCACACCATGTAATCTGTGCATCTGTGTACTGCTAACCTCTGGGGTATTGACATAGGTACCGGTATTCTTTGTCTTACCAGGAAAAGGCAGTCAGAAAGATACTCCTTTTGGTAACATTTTACCGAGATGTATAATGCATTATTACTTGTTACAGGCATGTACTCTATGTCTAATAATAGGGTTTATAATAAATTGTCTCTATGTAGCACATTTTCAACATATAAAAAAGTATGTTATTTAGTCAGGATCATTATTTGATGATACCAATACATTTTAAGGGGAACATACACATACTGTACTTATGATAAGTCTTACAATGCATTACAACCACATCATAATGCATTGGCTTCATAATGCATTGGCTCCTGTTGGCTTCAGGTACACATATTAGCATTTGCGTGCCCAGTTTATTGTCTAGGCTTATTACCATTTTAACCTACAGTACAGTATACAACATTACTGTATGCAATCTGTGATTGGCACATACATTTTTTGACTTTCTAATTGATACTGTACAATACCCGTTGAGTATTGAAGAATGTAAATGCATCATGATCTTAGTTCAACTGTCATACAACATCAGAACCCATATAAGCTTGTTTTACTCAATTGTTTGTAAACAATGTAATTGTAAACAAACATTGTATCTCAATGATGGTCAGTCCTCGCATTCATAGCTTTGTCTATGAATTTAAGTGGTTACATTTCTACAGCCCCATCCCTCGGCTGTTTACCGAAACAGTGGCAGGTGTTTTACTTTGTTGTTATTTGAACTGCAGATTGCTCGTGTTTAGGCTATACTGCTCCTGTTATTTAGTGATGATGATGGTGAAGTATAGATTATTCAAGTGCTTTCTGAGAGGTCTAGTAAAGGTTAGCCACAGGTCAGGAGTCAGGCAGAAGTCATGGATGACTTCCACAAATCCTGACCTGGGACTAAAAAAGGAACAGAGAGCTGCATTTAGAGATCGCTGCCATTCTGCTAAGCCCTAAAGATAGACAGCACTATAGGCAAGATCAATGCCAAGTATAATAGCCTAAAACCATGAGGAGTAGCCAAGTTTGATAAAACATGTAGGTAAGCTGGGTCTATTTAAAGCTCTGTTGTGCCAAAACAGGTGTGCTTTGGCTGAAGAGCAGAAAACAGGCAGGATTATGACTATATATTATACTGTAAAATGTGTATATATGTACAGTATCAAAGTGAAACACAAATGCTTATTTTCCTTCATGTTTTTGCACTGGATATACATCATCTCAGCTATTACGCAACACAGGTATTGTGTCATATCTTCTTGCCAACTCAGTCAAAATCAGCACAACTACAGGAGCTGTTTTGAATGCAAGGAGTTGTGCATGTATACACAAAGTGAATTAAATCGTTTTTATCTATGAAATGTTACATGAAGTTGCTGAAGAAGCAGAGCATGGCATGTTCAGTCATAGGAAAAGGTGTGTTGTACAGAGTGGGCATTGCTACAGGTCTAATTTGAATTGTTTCCCACATGGAAGCTACTGGGTGTTTCATTCCTACACAACATACATGGCTGCTTGTTACCATAGACAAGATCAGGAAGGAAAATGCTTCCAAACTTTGGCTATAGGCATGCAAATATCCATCAAAATGAAATGCATGTTATGATATAAGCGGAATATATAGTATTTAAAGTTTAACTCATCATTATTTCATCAGTTGAATTTGACTATTCTTATAGACATGTGTGACATGTATGATTGGCATGTATTAGGCAATTATAATGCCCCAATTATGGAATCTGGGAAGTTCTCTGATTGGTTGACTGACTCTGAGTGCTCCTCTCCTGCTGGTTGCGTCTGCCGGGACTAAATACAGTCCCTGCAGCACCATGGATCCAAACCCCAATAGCCTACACACGATGCAGAGGCAATAGTAGATATTCTGTAAACATTGTCTTGATAAGTAGGTGAGGTTTCAAATGGGCTCTTCCGGGTAGCAAGGAAAGCAGACACCTCATGGTCTGAGTTCAGACTTCTGAGGGGATGCAACCATAACAATAAAACATCACATTAAAATGCTAAAGGAAGAAATAACAACACTAAACTTAGATTATTTATTTTAATAACTACTTTCTCACAAAAACATCTTGGACGACACAAAAAAGTTAAAGACACCAAGCGCAGCACCTATCCTCAGAGTTCTTCAGCATTGCCCTGCACCTGCCAACGTTTCCATCAAACAGTGGGGCAAGGACATCTTCACCAGGATATTGGCCATTCATTCTATATCTTAACGTCGAAGGAATGACAGCAGCATGCACAGACATGTACATAGAAGGTTCCGGTTTCCTGTCCAAACTTGCAGTGGGATGGGGAAGTTAGAGGGACTTCATTTGCCGATTCTCTGCACGACCCAGTCCTGCTGGCACAGTGGACAGCGATTGTTCTGCTTCACCCAGAGAGACATGCAGCAATTGTGGAAAGAGTGGTTGCACTCTCCCCATACCACTGTGAAAGAGAGAGGGGATACAGAAGCACACTATGAAATTGTGTGCTACATGGTATTTTCAAATTCAGCATGTCAGCAGAAGAGCAGAATACATGGTAAAGCATGTTGGTACACACACACAACCAATATTTGTATCCAAACATGCTGACTAGATCGGGTACGCGCGGGCGTGCGCCATAGCACGCATGCTAATTTTGTCCATCCACACCAGACGCGATCAGGACACGCAGGTTGAAATATCAAAACAAACTCTGAACCAACTATATTAATTTGGGGACAGGTCGAAATGCATGAAACATTCATGGCAATTTAGCTAACTAGCTTGCTGTTGCTAGCTAATTTGTACTGAGATATAAACATTGGGTTGTTATTTTACCTGAAATACACAAGGTCCTCTACTCGGACAATTAATCCACAGATAAAAGGGTAAACCTAGTTAGTTTCTAGTAATCTCCCCTCCTTCAGTCTTCTTCTGACTTTATATGGCGATTGGCAACCAACTTTAAGGTGCATTACCACCACCTACTGGACTGGAGTGTGGACCCCAGTTAATCTTTCAATCACCCACGTGGCTATATGTTCCTAAAGCCAATGAGGAGATGGGAGAGGCGGGACTTGCAGCGCGTCAAGCATCCAAAATAGAACCAAGTTCTATTTTAGCGCCTGGCTACGCAGACGAGAGCGAGCAGTTTGGATGAAACGATTGAATAACGTGTACATTTATTTTGAGTTCCGGTAAATGGCGTCCCTTGAGAAAGCAAGAAACAGATGTATGTTAGGAGAAGTGCAGTATTATCATAAGGAGACGTATACTTGGATGACGGAGGAGGAATGGAGGGAAAAAGAGAGGCAGAGGAGGTCTAAGAGAGAGAGAGGGAGGAAGACTGTGAGCTTGAGTCGGTAAAAAATGGCAGAAAAAAGGGAGAAGGTTTGTTAAAGAAGAATGGTAGAAAATGTAAGCAAAGTAAGCTGAAGACAGGAGGAGAAATGGAAGTGAATGAGGGTGAAGTATTGGAGGTGGTAGGTGTGGTGAAGTACTCGGAGCCCGAGGCTTGCACAGAGGGTCAGGATAAAGATGAGTCTGTGACAGTAGGAGTGAAGTTTTTGGAAAAATGGACCCTTGGCTTTTGGCTGATCCATTTGTGATTTCAGGATGGGTGAAAAAAGCGTTGGGTATAGTGGAATCGGTGAGGGTAACCAGAAGTGGTCTAGTGATAATTGTTTGTGTTTCTGTTGGTCATAGGGAGAAGGCGCTCAGAGTTAAACAAATGGGGGAAAGAATTGTGAATTGTTTCGCGCTCAAGAAAAGGGTGCCATTTAAAGGAGTGATTACTGGGCTAGCAGTAAATGTAAAAGTTGACCAACTGAAGGGGAAGATTCCCGGTGTTTGTGATGCTCGTCGTTTGGTGCGTGACTTTGCCTGACAAAGTGAAGTTAGGATATATAAGTTATCCTGTACGAGCTTATGTGCCGAATGGATTACGATGTTACAGGTGTCAAACTTATGGGCATGTGGCAGCAGTGTGTAGGAGGGAGGTTCCAAGGTGTGAGAAGTGTGCAGAAGGGCATGAGACAAAGGAATGTGTAGCATTGGGGAAAGTAGTGGTATGTGCTAATTGTAGGGGTGCCCATGGGGCTGGGGATCAGAAATGTCCTGTGCGAAAGAGGCAGGTTGAGGTTTCCAGAGTAAGAGTAGTGAAGAAGTCATATGCTGAGGCAGTGAAGAAAGTAGAGAAAGATGGGTCAAGGGGGAGGAGTGGTGAGAGTAGTGGCTATGTACCAGTACAGAGGGATAGGCAACAAGTGATATATGTTTCAGTAAGATTGGATTTTTAGCATTTTTAGCAATGGTTATTAATTGTACTGCAGGGATGGAACATAAGTCAAAGAAAATTGAGGTTGTGGTGGCAGCTGCAGAGAGGTATTTGGGTGTGCGAGACTTGACATCAGAAGAGTTACAGGGAGTGTTAAGTGGTGATGTCCCATCATTTCAGGTTGAGGGCATGAGGTAGGAATGAATATATTTAAATAGTGGAGTAGGGTGGTGTTAATTATTAATAATATTTTTGCATTTGTGAGTGTAGTGTTATTTCTTAATTTTATTTTTCAATCAAAATATAAGGGAGTTGTACTCCAGTATAGTAGGTGGCGGTAATGCAACAAATTGATGCCAACCGCCGTTAAACCTCATCGAATAAACATATATTTTGCAAGGCGAGCGCACTTAACGCTAGCGTTGTGTTCAGCATACACAGGACAAACTCTGCTTTACCAATGTTAAGATAGCTTGCCGTTTTCAAATTGTAACCCCATATACCAGACTAGGAACCCAGGTATATCTGTCACATACACATCTCCTGCTGTGAGACCAGTAGGAGTTGTGGCCAGGTTCAGGATCTATAACATTAGTATCCAGGTTTCCCAAACACTGGAGCAGACCCAGGGTCATACCTACCGCTGGTCTGATAACACAAAATTATACTGTCTGGTGTCTTTGGGGCTTTATTAATGTTGGGCTAAGACGTTTAAAGTGGCTTACCGACACAGTCCTCTTGTTTATTTTCAGCCTGACACCGCAAACATGCATCTGTGGAGAGAAGGTACATATCAAGGAAACTTTGCTAACTAAACTAGCGCACAGCTGTCGCTGACCATTCCTGTATGGTGACAAATGGACTGATACAGCTGTCTAATTTGATAGCAATTCCGTCCTCCCAGGCGAGGTTAGCTAGTTACTGTAGCTAACTTGACTCCTTGCAATGACTTGAGCCATGTTTTCTGAATTCTAACGTTAACCTCCTAACGTTAGCTATATTAGTTAGGTAGCTAGCTAACGTTAGTTTTCTATTTGGTAGCTAGCAAGCTAAGCTATCCAACTAGGAAGCATTCTCGGTCTGCCCATGATGACGGTCATCTCTTAATCAGCTTAGGTGACTGTCTGACCACTAAGCTACTGTATTTATCTTGTTGTTGTTCGCTAGCTTAATGCACATCAAGAGTTGGCTATGGGTATACTACTGTTACGGTAGCTGACTAGCTAAATCACTGATTCAAACAAACTTACCCATAACTTGCACCCTACAAATGGCGCATGTATCGCACTCCACATCCCAGCTCCACATTGCCACAGCATTCCATTTCTTGAGAGAAAACATCTTGTCACTACTCGATTTTGACCCAGAAGTAGAGCTGTGAGAGTGAACTAAACCCGGCTCTTCACCGTCTTCCATCTCTGCCATAGAATAGGCTAGCTAACAGCTAAACAAAATGGACGAAAGAAGCTAGCTAGTCCGTGGTGTTAGCATTTAGCTACGATTTTGTAGCCAGCCCAGCAGAGCAAACAAACCAGCGTGCGCTAAAACACATCTGCAGTACTACCAAACAAACAGATGGCGGAGCCAAAGATTAAAAGGTAGCCAACTGTGAATGAAGATAAAATACTTCAGTGTAGGTCTCCTCAAGTAGCTAAGAAAGGTAGCAGATGCTCTTATTGTGTATTGTGCACCGTTCTGTTCTGGCTATTTTGCTGTGTGTGTGTTTAGTTTTTTATATACTGTATGGCTACGGTTTCTCAGTTGTACTTTTGCAATGAATTGAGTAAAAAAAAGCACACTTGAAATGCCTACAGTTAAACTAATAATGGTACTCAACTTTTAAGTAGTATATATTGCTTATTTGACAGAATACTGTATCCACACCAGACTTTCTCAAAATTCAATACAGATGTTTGGAGACAATTAAATTAAATCTAACCACTGTTCTCAAATTATTCATACACACAGCTCTGTTTTGATCTCAGTGGTGTTCTCTCTCCTTATGTGAAGTGATATATGTATAAGCCATATGTATGAAATAATCAAACTAGGTTATTTCATCAGGAAATGCTGGCTTTCAAAGTCACTGTAGAGCAACAGGAAAATTATTTCCAATAACCTAGTTTATCTATGCAAGGTCCTAATGAAGGAAAGAAAACGTCAATAGAAGGCAATCAAAACTGCAATTTCATCCAAAAAAACTCCAGCCTGATGCACATACGTGCCATAACCCAATTTATTATTTTCCAAAACATAGCATGACTAGGAATGTTGATGTACAGCTGAGTCAGGTCTTGCGTTCACAGGGTTGTATACTTTTGAGGCAATTACACCCCATCATCCTCCAAGTCCTCTACTCAATCGCAGAGGACCACACGACTGTCATGCTCTGCACTGTGATTTTGTCTCCTGTTGCCTCAGTCCCTTGAGAAACCTCGATTGACTTCTTCCCACAGAGTTTCACTCATTCATTTGCTTTTAGCCTAGAATAAATAATAAAGAACTATAAAGTACATGGTATGTAACGTTTTGTTAAAACATGGTGTATATGTACTCATCCTACTAGTGAGAGGGTAATACAAAAACTGTTTTTATGATCATGGGGTTCATCCCTGTAGCATTTTCTGAGCATGTGGGTAAGTTGGGTTAGAAACTGAGTCAAATACTATATAGACAAAATATATTAAAGGAGTATTCATGTTTCTCTGGATGTCAATTTTGTGGATGGGAAGAAACAATAGAGTGCAAGACATCTGATATGATGAGGAGACATGAATTAAGTCATTTGTCTTTGCTATTCGTTAGTGTATATTCTGTAGGGCTGATTGTCAGATTGTTGCAAAGGCCTTTCCAAACATTTATTTGACACTACGTAGATGTAACCATATCTAAACAATACAGTGCCTTCAGAAAGTATTCACGCTCCTTGACTTTTTCCACATTTTGTTTTGTTACAAAGTGTGATTAAAATCGATTTAATTGTCATTTTGTCAATGATCTACACAAAATACTCAATGTCAAAGTGGAAGAATAATTTTAACATTTGTAAAAATAAAAATTTAAAAATAAACACTAATATATATTGATTAGATCAGTATTCAACCCCCTGAGTCAATACATGTTAGAATTACCTTTGGCAGCGATTACAGCTGTGAGTCTTTCTGGGTAAGTCTAAGAGCTATTCCACACCTGGATTGTGCAAAATATCCCTATTATTCTTTTTTTTAAATCTTCAAGCTCTGTCGAATTGGTTGTTGATTATTGTTAGACAATCATTTTCAGGTCTTGCCATAGCTTTTCGAGCAGATTTAAGTTAACTGTAACTCGGCCACTCAGGAACATTCACTGTCTTCTTGGTAAGGAACTCCAGTGTAGATTTGGCCTGTTTTAGGTTAATGTCCTGCTGAAAGGTGAATTCATCTTCCAGTGTCTGGTGGAAGCAGACTGAACCAGGTTTCCTCTTGGATTTTGCCTGTGCTTAGGTCCATTCAGTTTTCTTTCTTATCCTGAAAAACTCCCCAGTCCTTAACGATTACAAGCTAACCCACAACATGATGCAGCCACCACCATTATGCTTGAAAATATGGAGAGTGGTACTCAGTAATGCGTTGTATTGTATTTGCCCCAAACAGAACACTTTATATTCAGGAGAAAAAGTTAATTGCTTTGCCACATTTTTTGCAGTATTACTTTAGCGCCTTGTTGCAAACAGAATGCATGTTTTGGAATATTTTTTATTCTGTACATGTTTCCTTTTCACTTTGTCAATTAGGTTAGTATTGTGAAGTAACTACAATGTTGTTGATCCATCCTCAGTTTTCTCTTATCACAGCCATTAAACTCTGTAACTGTTTTAATGTCACCATTGGCCTCGTGGTGAAATCCCTGAGCGGTTTCCATCCTCTCCGGCAACTGAGTTAGGAGGACACCTGTACCTTTGTAGTGACTGGGTGTATTGACACACCATCCAAAGTGTAATTAATAACCACCATGCTCAAAGGGATATTCAATGTCTATTTTTTATTTTATTTTTACCCATCTATCAATAGGTGTCCTTCTTTGCGAGGCATTGGAAAACCTCCCTGGTCTTTGTGGTTGAATCTGTGTTTGAAATTCACTGCTCGACTGCGGGACCTTACAGATAATTGGATGTGTGGGGTACAGAGATGAGGTAGTCATTCAAAAATTATATTAAACACTATTGCACACAGAGTTTGCCATCACAAAGGGGTTGAATACTTATTGACTCGAGGCATTTCAGCTTTTCATTTTGTATTAATTTTAAATAAATTCCCGAAAACATACAGTTGAAGTCGGAAGTTTACATACACCTTAGCCAAATACATTTAAACTCAGTTTTTCACAATTCCTGACATTTAATCCTTGTAAAAATTCCTTGTCTTAGGTCAGTTAGAATCACCACTTTATTTTAAGAATGTGAAATGTCAGAATAATTGTAGAGAATTATTTATTTCAGCTTTTATTTATTTCATCACATTCCGGAAGTTTACATACACTCGATTAGTATTTGGTAGCATTGCCTTTAAATTGTTTAACTTGGGTCAAACGTTTCGGATAGCCTTCCACAAGCTTCCCACAATAAGTAGGGTGAATTTTGGCCCATTCCTCCTGACAGAGCTGGTGTGACTGAGTCAGGTTTGTAGGCCTTCTTGCTCGCACATGCTTTTTCAGTTCTGCCCACACATTTTCTATAGGATTGAGGTCAGGGCTTTGTGATGGCCACTCCAAAACCTTGACTTTGTTGTCCTTAAGCTTTTTGCCACAACTTTGGAAGTATGCTTGGGGTCATTGTCCATTTGGAAGACCCATTTGCGACCAAGCTTTAACTTCCTGACTGATGTCTTGAGATGTTACTTCAATATATCCACATAATTTTCCTTCCTCATGATGCCATCTATTTTGTGAAGTGCACCAGTCCCTCATGCATCAAAGCACCCCCACAGCATGATGCTGCCACCCCCGTGCTTCACGGTTGGGATGGTGTTCTTAGGCTTGCAAGCTGCCATCTTTTTCCTCCAAACATAACGATGGTCATTATGGCCAAACAGTTCTATTTATGTTTCATCAGACCAGAGGACATTTCTCCAAAAAGTCCGATCTTTGTTCCCATGTGCAGTTGCAAACCGTAGTCTGTCTTTTTTATGGCGGTTTTGGAGCAGTGACTTCTTCTTTGCTGAGCGGCCTTTCAGGTTATGTCGATATAGGACTCGTTTTACTGTGGATATAGATATTTTTGTACCTGTTTCCTCCAGCATCTTCACAAGGTCCTTTGCTGTTGTTCTGGGATTGATTTGCACTTTTCGCACCATAGTATGTTAATCTCTAGGAGACAGAATGCGTCTCCTTCCTGAGCGGTATGACGGCTGCGTGGTCCCATGGTGTTTATACTTGCGTACTATTGTTTGTATAGATGAACGTGGTACCTTCAGGCGTTTGGAAATTGCTCCCAAGGATGAACCAGACTTGTGGATATCTACAATTTATTTTCTGAGGTCTTGGTTGATTTTTTTATATTTTCCCATGATGTCAAGTAAAGAGGCACTGCGTTTGAAGGTAGGCCTTGAAATACATACACAGGTACACCTCCAATTGACTCAAATGATGTCAAATAGCCGATCAGCAGCTTCTAAAGCCATGACATCATTTTCTGGAATTTTCCAAGCTGTTTAAAGGCACAGTCAACTTAGTGTATGTAAACTTCTGACCAACTGGAATTGTGATACAGTGAATTATAAGTGAAATAATCTGTCTGTAAAAAGTTACTTGTGTCATGCACAAAGTAGATGTCCTAACCGACTTGCCAAAACTATAGTTTGTTAACAAGTAATTTGTGGAGTGGTTGAAAAACTAGTTTTAATGACTCCAACCGAAGTGTATGTAAACTTCCGACTTCAACTGTAATTCCATTTTGACATTATTAGGTATTGTGTGGAGGCCAGTGACAAAAAACCCCAACATTTTATCCATTTGAAATTCAGTTTGTAACAACAAAATGTGGAAAAGGTCAAGGGGTGTGAATACTTTCTGAAAGCACTGTATGTACACTATAAATTGTTTTGATGTTTATTTTTCAAAGATTTCACTTCCATGGCAATCTTTGAAATGGCAGCAAATATGTTGGTGCTCACTGACTTTTAAAGGATGCAGTTTAGCTAGGGAAAGCCAGGGCATAATAGAAAATACAACACACTGTGAGAAATCAGGCTGGCTAACTGGAGAGACCTATCAAAATGTTACACTCTGAAGAGACTCCAACCAACGCATGCTCACAGTATTTAGAATATTGTTGCTGGAGTACTAAAGCCAGTCCACTCCATCTTGCCAGGTGATTCGTCAGCTCATCAGCCAGCCAGTTTCTCTCCAATATCTCCAATGTCGTTCTCGGTAAGGTCCTATTCTTTCAG